AGAGAGAGAGAGATATGATGTATGGTGATAATGGCAAGCCACATTGCGTGTGTGCAAGTCAGGGTACAACTAAGGGGAATTAGTTCTCTCCTGCCACCTTATGAGATTCAGGGATTAAACTCAGCTCATCAGCCCAGTGCACAAGTGCCTCTACATGCTTCATCTAGCCAGCCTTCAGGGCTGGTCTCATTGTGTAGTTCTGGCTGTGCCGAAACAAACCATGTAGACTAAACTTGCCTTGAACTCACAGAGATCCTCCTGTCTCTGTGTCTCTGCCTTATGATTACTGTTATTAAAGGCAAACACCACTCTAATAGACCCCAGACCTGGGTTTTAGTGTCAGGTACTCTACTGCAGTCTCAGTCTCAGTCTCAAAAAAATAAATAAAGAAAGAATGATTTCAAGAAAATAAATTATACAGATTACTTTTCCCATATGTTCTTTGGGACTTTAACAATTCTCAATAAGTCCTGGAGTGACTGGGATTTCCTCTGTGAATTTTCCAGTCCTCCAATGTTTATGGGTCATGTCAAACTATTAAAATAAGAGGAATAAAGGATCCGGATTTATAGTTTTTGCTGACCCTAAATTTTCGAGTTAATCCTCTAGTCGTCTGTTTCCTATTTTTAATTATGTGGTTGAATTCAATCAGTGATTCCACCAATTGGCTAATGATCAGAAGTTACAATATAGAAAATCTGAAAGTGAAATCCAGGTGTTTTATTTTCTGAATATCTCCCAAGGAAATTCTATTGATGGATAAGATTTGGGAACAATTGGATTGCATGGCCACTAAGATCATTTCTAGTACTAAGGCCCTTTGATGATATAAGAACTAATATTTTTAGCTGTGAGTCTATGTCCATGTTATATGCAATTCCTTATTTATCATAATAACAATCATATGAAATAAATATGAACGTTCACTATCAAGTGAAAAACACTTAGAACTAAACCAATAAGTCAGCATTACTTGTTGGCATCTGGGAAGAAATTCAAACTGTCTTGTATCTGGTCCCAGACCCAAATCAGTAAAAACGTGATCACATGTCAACTTCACAGAATTTTAATTCTTATAACTAAACCTAAGAAGAGTTCTAAATGCAATAATCACTGAGTATATATGATCACTACTTATCATATAAAGGGGTAAGAGTTATTACTGATGCTTAAAAAAACTATCATTCTCCATCAAATCCACAGTGTTGTGCCAGGACATATGATGACCTTCCTAGGATATTTCCAGTTCTTAGGATATAGTATTCCCTCCAAACCCTCCAATGTTTGGTTTTGGTGTTTCAAACTTTTTAAACAGTGGATCCTTTTCTATCTTCTCATCTCTCTACCCTGCACATTGATTCTTTTCACAGGGGTATTCTTAACCTGTAAGAGTGAATCTTAGAAATTACTATGTTAATACAATTATTCCTTTCTTTCAGCCTTGTTCTTAGTTACCACAGTCTTCAGGAAAGACTACAGATATAGGACCAAGATAGCATTTATTTTGATGTAACATCTTTGTCATTTTGTTTTCCTTTCTGCCATTATCATCTTGTGAATCCCATATTTATCTTTAGACTGAGTTCACAGACAGAAGGAATAAGGTTGCCCTATTCTTCTAAGTCTTAGAACACTCAGTTTTGTATTCTTCAGAGCAATGATTAATGTATCAATCTTCATTCTTCACTAGGAGACCAATTGATTGACAGGCTGCACTCGATGAGATAACAGGTGGGTCAAGACCTAAGAGGACAAAAGAAATAGCAAAAAGATGTAGTCATGAAATGTATGTCAGTAAATATAAAGCTGTATAGGTCCTAAAGCTTTTTTCCCATCCCCATTGAGCTACACTGTGTCTTCACTCAATCATTTTTACCCTGATATTTTTATAGATATTTTTATGTTTTTCAAGTCTTATGTTTAGATCTTAATTCATTTTGTTTGGATTTTTTATTGATTTTTTACAAATTTCATACAATATATTTTGGTCATGTTTGATCATATATAGATCTATTCCCTGTCTTCAATCTCACTTATATACTCTATTATATGCAATATTAATGTAATATTATGTTATTATATGTAATATCATATATATATATATATATCCATTGAGAAAAATGTGTGGCTCCAAATGTCCTTTTTTATGGGTCCATACACTTGAGCCTTGTTAACCTACCAAGAGTCATCTTCTAAAATGAGACTGACTCTCCCCTTCCCAGCTGTCATGATTTGCCAATAGTTCCTCAGGTACAGTTGTAGTTTCTTACCTACTTCCCCATACCTATGCTGGGATTTTGTCTATCTTGAACTCACATGGGACTTGCGCATGCTGTAACCATTTCTGTGAGTTCAAGGGTAACTGCACAGTTCTCTGGAAAACTGTTTCCTTGTGATCATCCACAATCTCTGCCTCTTTCAGTCTTACCTGCTCCATAATGATCCCTGAGACTTGGGAGACAGAAGTTTTACATTTGTGTTCTGTTCAAGGATAATCACATTGTATATGTAATATCATATATATATATATCCATTGAGAAAAATGTGTGGCTCCAAATGTCCTTTTTTATGGGTCCATACACTTGAGCCTTGTTAACCTACCAAGAGTCATCTTCTAAAATGAGACTGACTCTCCCCTTCCCAGCTGTCATGATTTGCCAATAGTTCCTCAGGTACAGTTGTAGTTTCTTACCTACTTCCCCATACCTATGCTGGGATTTTGTCTATCTTGAACTCACATGGGACTTGCGCATGCTGTAACCATTTCTGTGAGTTCAAGGGTAACTGCACAGTTCTCTGGAAAACTGTTTCCTTGTGATCATCCACAATCTCTGCCTCTTTCAGTCTTACCTGCTCCATAATGATCCCTGAGACTTGGGAGACAGAAGTTTTACATTTGTGTTCTGTTCAAGGATAATCACATTGTAGCCTCTTATTCTCTACACACTGGACAATTGTAGGTCTCTGTATTAATTACCATATGCTGGAAAAGGAAATTTCTCTGGTTTGAGAGTTGAAACATATGTTCATTTATGTTCATCTGTGATCATTATTAAGTCATTAGAAGTTGGTTTAATATTATATAATATACAAAGACCTGATACAATGCCAAGTATGGGCTTTGTCTTATGAAGCAGTCTTTAAATTCAATTAGAAAGTTTTTGGTTATACCAATAATATTTGTTCCACTATGGCAATCATGGGCATATTTTGCCTGGTTAACTGTTGTGGCTTGCAAGATTCACAGCTAGATAAGTTTGATGTTTAATTTTCTCCTCTGGTAGTGTGAGTATCACCTTTCAGCACTGTGAAACCCAGTCAGCAGAAATGAAACTTTGAAGTCAGGACCAGCTTGATTTCTTCTTCTTTGTTCTATAGCTCATGTATGTATTATCTTCAGCAATAGGGTCTTACCATGAAGTTCTTGTGGGTAACCAAGAGCAGGAACAATGGCCAGTATTATTTGACCATTTATGAGACCTCCTGGTCAACAGCTTCAAAAGAGGAGTCCACCGGGGCATTAGACTTTTATTTTGCTAGCTTATGGTTTCTAATATGGGTAGTATCTCCCTGTTACAGGATAACTCCTTTCAATCTCCTTTAATAATGCATTTGCATATTATTGAAGAAGGTTCTACAGTGGTAAGTTTTCATAAGGCTTTTTAAAAGCCTTTAGTGATAGTTATTGCTCCCCATACTCCCTCCTCTGTCCTGCCTTCCCATTCCCCACCCCACTTAATGCTTCCTCTTTTATTAGTCTGCTTTTACCCTTTATATCACTGCATTCATAGGAGCCCTCTGCTTCTATGGCCATTTATTATTTTTCTGACCTCTCGAGATATCTCAATTGAATCATGCATGCCTGAGATTTCAAAGCTGCATCCAGTTATGAAGGAGACCATGTGATGACTTTCTTTCTGGATCTTCCTTGCCTCACTCAGGATGAGTGGTTTCATTTCTATTTATTTGCTTACAAACTTCCTAATTTTTAAAAGTTGAATGGTGTTCCATTTTGCAAATGTACCATACTTTCATTATCCATTCCATTCATCAGTTGATAGACATGTAGGTTTGTACCATATCCTGGCTTTTGTGAAAAAAGGCAAAAATTTACATGGAGGAACAAGTATCTCT